GCCGAGGGCGCTGCGCCCCGGCTGTCCGGCGGGCAGCCCCCTCTGCTCCCGCCCCGCACTTACTCCGGAGCAGCTCCTCCGAGTAGGGCGGCTCGCTGGAGCCGCAGGAGGGGTTCAGGGTCCCGTTGGCCTCGCCCTCCATGGCTGCGCGGGGCTGCGGGCGGGCGGCGGGGCCGGTGCGTGCCCGGCCGCCGGTCCCGGGCGAGTGCGGGCGGCGATGCGCGGCGCGGAGCCCGCGGCCGGGCCCGGTTAATGATTACCGGAGCCGGGGCGGGCGGGCGGCGCAGGGACCGACCCCGCGCTGCCTCCTGGCGCCCTGGCCCCGGCACGGCGGAGCTGCTTGCCGGCGCTCCCCCGGCCCATGTTCACAGCCCCGGCGTGGCGGGCAGCCGGAGCCGGGGCTCGGCAGCCGAGGGGGCGCTGGAAGCGGCCGGGATCCCCAGGGACGTGTCCGCCCTCGCTCCAGCCCCAGGGCACGGGCAGAAGCTGCTCTGTCAGTGGGGCCGGTGTTTGAGGGACTTTTCATGGAGCCCTTCACCAAAGGCTTCCCCATCCACTTGGCTGCAGCGAGGTGAGACGCGGAAGGGGAGCGCAGTGAGGGTAGGAATATACCGAGAGATGCTCCACTTCCCCACACGCTTCCTCAGCTGGAAGGATTCTTTCTGCAGCCTGAGCACCCTCAGGATGTTTCCAGGAAAAGGGAATGAGTACTGAAATGATGGAATTTGGTGACCCACCAGGTTGTTCAGGATGCTCAAAGCCGGCTAAACCCTAATGGTTACTGCGCTGAGTGACAAAACGACAGGGACACGCTGTGACAATGAGCAGATTGGTGTCGGGGGGAAGGACAGTCCTAATTATCTATGCAGTGATAAGCGATTGCCACTCACGAAAAAGATCCTGGGAGCACAGTGGACAGTCTTCAAAAATGGCAGCGAGAATCAGCATGGGACAAAATGCAAAGGACTGTGAGAAATTTGTAGATAAATAAGGAAATACACAAAACAGCTAAAATACATATGGAGGCTCCCTTCACCACGGTGGTGTTCTAGAAAGTTGAACAAAGTGAGGAGGTGAGAAATTTAGGGGCATTTTTAAGCACCAAGGGCATTTGTGGTAAGAGCTGTCATCTTGCAGTTTTCACAGGATTTCAAAGGTTTTACAGGAAGGACAGGCCAAACACAGAAACACTTCCAGTAGGAACACAAGGATGCAGGGGAGAACGGGACTGCTTGCTGTCTAAAACCAGGAGGTACCCAACTGAGAGAAGGCAGGCTCCTTCCAGAGTGGCAAGATTTGGGAACAAGACAGATGAGGCTACTGACAGCCTGCTCTTTTACTGTCAGGAGAGTTTTGTTACAGATCAAAGTAATTTATTTCAAGTCTTTCTTGGCTTTGCTGACATTGTTTTCACTGCATTGAGAGGTGAGGATGAAAGCTTTCCAATTCCACCAGAAGGGATGTGCCAGTCAGTGGCTGTTGGAATGTGGTATCTGCCCAATTCTCACAGTCTGCCTGGAACATTCTCCACCCAGCACATCTGCTGCTGCCCAGCTGCAGAAACATACAGGCAAAATCCATGAAAACACTATTCCAGCTTATTTTCTATTTGAAAGTCTGTTTTCTCATCCTGAAGAAACAGTTGTTAGAGAGGGAAATGACCTTAAAAGACCATTCATTTTCTACATCTTTTGCTGAATTTTTTTTAACCAACTATTTTCAGGTGGTCACATATTCCAAAATGTGGCCAAAGACTCGTTAGGATTGCTGAGATTTAAAGATGGCCCAAGGTCTTTGAATGCTCTTCCTGAGCAGACACAACAGGATTCCCATCTGTTGCTATTTTGGTTGCCAGCTCTTTGTATTCCCTAAAAGCTAAAAATAAAACCCCCTCACCTGTGAATTCCTTTTTCTGAATGAGGCAGGTTTGGCAATGCTTGTGTTAACTAAATTAATACACTAAGTGTAAGAGACTCAAGAATTCCTTGAACTCAATAAGAGTTTTGGATTTGACAGTCATATTTAAGCCATTCAGAAATGCCAGTCTGGAACCAATACTGCAGCAGACACTGAATATGGCATTAGAGAGTTTCCTGTCTCAAACCTATAGAAAATTAACAGGTTGAAGTGGTTGAAGTTTTGAGGTTAAGGATTAATTCCCACCTGGTGCTATAGGGGTCCAGCTCTCCCACTCTCTTCTTCTCCTGGAACATCTCATGCAAAATAGAGTCTAAAAAGAGAACCAGAGATCTACTCTGATTCCTTTTTGTTAGAAACACCATTTGCCATTTTGGGTCAAACATTGGACCCACTTTCTTAAAATCTGCCATATGTTCTGGAGGGAGTGTGCATCACCTCTTCCTCACATTCTGGACTGTGACTTGGCAACAATATTTGCCTGACAATGTTTAAACGTAATAAAGCAAACTGAAGAATGTGCCATGATCCCTCAGTTACCACAGCTGGGGGTCTGCTGCTCTGTGCTCACTTTCTTAGACCAGACTCTTCAGTAGTGCCCTCTCTGCTCTGCTTTCTCAGCCAAATGCTGTGTCTCTACATCAACAGTGAATCCTTTAAATTCCTATAAACCCAAGTATGTTTTCCTCCCACCTTCACTATTCAAATTTTTGGTTTAACCTTTTAGTAGAATATATTGTATGTTCCATGAAAAACCAACCAACCAACTAACCAAACCCCAAAGCCACCTTCAGCACTGGATGAGTATTTATAAATGTATCACCTATCCAATTTAGATGCATCAAGAGGTTGTCACAGGTTGTCAGACTAAAAACCACCTCTGAACACAGTTCCCTTCCTATGCTGACCAGGGGCTTTCAAGTTCTTTGTGGTTCATCCCCCTTCCAGACACTGCACAGCTCAGACTTGTTCTTCTCAAGAAACCTTTGCTTCTAGTTTGCCCCTTTGCTTCTACTTGTGTTCATCTTTTAAAGAGCACTGCAGATGCTTATTTTTCTTCCATTTTCATTTTCACCCACTTCAAGAAATACTGGATCCTCTCAGCATTGTGGAACAGGACGCCCTTTTTGGTCATTGCCCCATGGCATGTGGTCCAGAGGAGCTGATGCCATCGGTGGCATCTCCCTGAAGGAAGAACACTGGCCTTCAGAAGGTGACACAGCCCCTCTACCCCATGCTGGTGGGCCAAGCCTATAGACAAAACACCTGATGTCAGCCCTGGCTCAGAAACTGAACAGCAGAACATCCTGCAGGTTATCTCACAGGACAAACTCAAAGCTGCATTGCACAGAATACATAGGATAGGCTATTGCATTTTGGTTGTAGGAAGTGCAGCAGACATCAGCATCATCAGTACAGATGGGAGATGGGAAATGCAGCCTCTTTCACAGAACCATTTGGTCTGGGAAAGATCTTTAAGATTATTGAGTCCATCCACAAACCTAACACTGCAAACAGTTCTGAGGCAAGATTAACTCAGCTCCTGGAGGGGTACACAAACTTCAAAACCCTTACATTCCTTTAGTCAGTGAAAATGTACATCACCTGGAGAAGGTTCAGCTGATTCTGAAAGGGCCTCAACAGCTGTGAACTCCAGGGACAGATACCAGTATGTGGAGCAGTTGCATTTGCTAAGTAGGGTTAAAAAACGAGGTAGGCATTTCAGGTTCAGTTGTACAAAGTAAAGGATTTGAGGTGTAGATGAACAAACTCCAGAGGTACCAGAAGGAAAGGTTACTGTGCCTACCTGATTCCCCTCTGCTGACAGCTCTGGTCATGGACCTCCAATCACGTAGATAAATCAGCCAGTTTGACAGAGACAAATTATTTGAACTGTTTAACCTCCTCCCACTGCATTTGCTTAAGATAATTTGGAGGCCAACTGATGCAGGGCAGTAAACTGAATCATCCCAGAATGAGCCTAACTCTCATTAATGGGAGAGGTAATTATCCTTTTAAGTGCTGTTGCTGGATTTGAAATGCTGCATTTGCACACTAATTTCATGGAAAAGGAGGTAGAGCTTCAACAGTACCTCTGCTAGAGTGTGGCCCCATGGAGCACTATAGAAGTACTTGCAACTATACTTATATGAAAAGATGGGATCTATACTCATGCAAGAAACTCACAATGTCAGTAAAAACTTATGTAAAGGAGTCTTTAAACTCGGGTTAATATTTCAACACAATGAAAGCAACTGGTTCTTCTTTCATTTATCCTTGTGATGGACAGAAAGCAAAAAGAGATAACTATAAAGAAAAGGAACATTCCCAGAAAGGAAAGAAAAAAATGAAATATGAGAGGAAATATAATATTAACTGATGTTTTAAAATAATGCCAAAACCTAGACTTAATTCATTCAATCTCAGGAAAAGAGGTATCTCCAATTCCCTTTAGAAGAAATTTAGATTTCCTCTGTGTGGTCTGCCTAAACAAAGGTATGCTTTAGTCAAACGTGAAGCAGTAGGTGAAAATCCAGAGGAATGGGATGAAATTACAGGGAAGGAAAACCAACTTATTGAGTTTTTGTCCTGTTCAGCCAAGTTCAAGCTAACAGGACAAATTTGTGTTAGAAGTTATCAATTTTCAGTGCTATAGGGGACTATACATCACATTTCTCACAAGTTTGGATACCCAGATAAGAGCCAGAAGAGTCAGCTAAAATTGTTCAGATTTCAAAGGAATGTACATGTTTAATAATTAAATTAAATCCTGTTTTTCAGCTATACTATAATATACCGTTGGATGTACATGCAAGTCAGCCTTTTCCACTATAAATCTCTGGATTTTTCACCAACCACCATTTCAGGAAAGGTGAATCATTAATGTAAGAAAAGGAACATCTATATCACTGCAAAAGAAATTAATAAGGGATTTTGTTATCTGGATCATGACAACAACTATAAAAAGAAATAAATATAGTCATGACAATGAAATAAATTAAGATAACAAAACTGAATTGTAATTTTAGTGCTTATTGAAGTGGACAAATTTCTACATTAAAAAGAATATCAGGTGTGCCAGAAGCTTTCATGTTCTTAAGAGGAAAGCTTAGACAAAGACTCTTATCAGTACAGAAGCAATAAAAGAGAAAAGAGAGAGGTGTTCATTAAATCTGAAGCTAACAAGTGTGATTTTATCTTACTTCCAAAGCAGCAGATCAGTTTCTGGCAGTCAATAAAGGGGAAAAATACAGAGACGG